CCGCCCCCCACGCCCGCGGGCGCCAGCCAGGGGCTGTAGACGGTGCGCGCCTTCGTGGACTAGTGCGGACATCATGGACCTCCTTGAGGTTTGGGGGGAGGCCCCCAATGTCCATGATCTCCGCACTAGTTGGAGGAATGCGGCTGTCTACGGCCACATAGTGGCCACCATGGCCAGAAAGTGCCACAGGCACACCCAGGAGCAGGTGCACCTCAAAGTCAAGGAGCTGTGGCAAGTGTACGCCAGGGCCACCAGGGGCGGCACCACAGCAGGGGTTGACACCTGCCCCTACTTCCCCCCCTTGACCAAATCCTGGGGGGTGGGATGGTCCGTGCCACCCAGGGGGGCAGCAAGCTGGAACTGGAGGGCCCTGACCTGGGCGCGGTAGAGGGGCCATCGCGGACGGTGCCACACCGGCTGGAACCCCAAGCTGTCCCAGCACCAGAGTCAGCAGGGTTGTCCAGGGAGGCCACACCAGGTAAGTGCCATCACCGTCCCCTACCCGAGGAGGGGGGGTGAAGGGCGGGGAGGGAGACCAGGGACCATGCGCGTGGCCCTTGCTTACCACACATCATGCAGCAACCTGTGCATGTGCGAGCACATGCCATGCCACCCTTGGGCAGGTGGCTCCAGCTGTGTGACACCCAGGGGCTGTGGCTGAAGAGACCTGACACACTCCTGACCCTGGGGCGGGACACAGCAGGACGTCCTCCCTTCACACACCCCCTCCACACAGAGGCAGGGGACATCTCCCCCCCACCTCAGCCGCACTATAAACAGCATAGGGACATGGGTGTGGTCTCGGGGCACCTCCCACTCCTAGGGATAGCTGGAGTCAAAAAAGAGATTACTGAATCCCATTAGTACAGGAGACTAGCTTAAAAATATGTAGTTGAAACAATGCTTTACCTGATCCACTTGGAAGCAGCAGCTTTGCAGTCTCATCTTCAACTCTGAAGTATCTAGGCCCCAATTTTGCAAAGAACTTAACCACATGTAAGTTTGATCATGGAAACTGTTCCATTCCCTTCTTACAAAAGTGGCCAATAGGCTTGTTGAAACTCCTAAAATAACAGTTTGTAAGCATTTGTAACAAAAATATGAACTTAAGGAATAATACCAAGGAGAATCAGTCCCATGAGATTTACAATTTGATATACTGCTGCAAAAGCAGCTGAAACACTATGCTGAACTGCTTACTATTTATTCGAAGATCTTCAGTATTTGCTCGTCCAACACATACTTTTTAAAAGGTACATTATAGAAAACAATGGTTTGTGAACTGTCGGGGGGCTGGCCCCTGTCTTGGGGTTGCCACCCCCATCCGGGGCCTAACTCGGCCCGTCTGGGCCTAGCCCTCAAAGTACACTGCCCCTCTCGTAGGGGAAATACGGCCCACCGGCCTAGTCCCAAAGTACAATGCCCCTGTGCTAGGGGAAATACGGCCTCCCGGCCTAGTCCTCAGTTTGCAGTTTGTTACCCTGCTCCCACGTGCCAGGGTCTCAGGCAGCAGGGGTAGGGGGGTCCGGGCCCTCCCTCTCTACCGGACCCCGACCCAGGGCCCTAGTAGTTTCGGGTGGTTCCCACCACTGGCTCGGCGGGGGCTCCTCCCCGCAACGCCCCGAGCCCTCAGGGGCTTCTCCAGCTCCCTGCCCTGGGCCGCTTCCTACCCCTTGCTCGCAGCCTGCCGCGGTCCCACCTGTCGGCGCCGGTCGATGGGCTGTAGTGGTCCTCCCCCTGGCAGCTGCAGAGTTGGCGGGGTCCGTTCCAGCACTCGGGTCGCGGGTGGTCGGTCGGCGGCTCCGGCGTTGGGGCCGAGCCCGGCAGAGGCCCGGCAGCAGCACGCTCAGCTCCCCCGGCGACTCCCTCTCTGGCCAGTGGTCGCTAGCTCCTGCTCGGGTCGCAGTCTGCCCTTTCTGAGCAGGCCAGCAGCCTTTTATACCTTGGCTCCCTTTGGAGCATGCCCAGTAGGGCTGTGTGGGTGGGGCCCTCTCCGCCCCCGGCCCCAGGTGGTTTCCCTGGGCTTGAGTGCGGGGCGGGGCCGCCCCGTCACACTGACCATGTCTGTCCCATCCACCTCCACCTTGCAGTGGCCCTTTTCTGCTGCCTCCAGCTGTGCATGCAACCCAGACTGCTCTGGTTCCTCCACCTTCAGGGTCTGGGTCCACACAGTACCCTGCTCCACCACTGCGATGTTTGTCCCTATTTCGTGCTGGGACCTCTGTTATAGTCCCACTCTTGGGCAGGCCTATCACCATCACCATGGCATCGACCCTGCTGGTTGGTGATGATCTTGGGTTCTTAGACACTCCTGCCCCTCATCCCTTCTGGGGACAATGCCTCTTAATATGTCCCCACACATGGCACAAGAAGCAGACCACTTGCTTCTTTCTTGCCTTGGGCCTCCTTTGCTCCTTCTTGGGTTCAACCTTCTTTAGACCACCCTGCGTTGCACCTCATGGGTGAGAACAACCCCTCTATAGATGCCCCTGCTGCCCACAGGCCTAAGATGTCTGCACCGCCTTGACTTTCTGCTCTCATGGGGTTCTCATAGAGCTTTGTGCCTTTCCCCAGTTTGGATGTGGCTTTCCGCCCTCATCCCAATAGTGGCAAGTCCTCCATAAATGTCCATGGCCACTGAAAGTGTAGCAAACTTTATCTCCTGGCTCCTCCCTCTGCCCTCACCGGCTATTCCAATACTCCTTCTGTAGGAGTCTTACCAAGGCCCACTGCTCTGTGACCAGCTACCCAATTATTCCTGAATGGCCCACTGGTTCTCCCCATATTCCTTCAGCAGGCTCTCCATCCTTTCCAGTTGCTGGCGAGTCCCCTTTAGCTGGTGCTCTGACAAGGGAGTCCAGCCAGGGATTGCACATGAGCCCTCAACAAAGAAGACCTCTGCATACCTGGGATCCATTGTCCCCACCATCCCCAATTCAGTCTCTGTTAGCACAGTTTTCCCAATCTGTACCAGTCCCTTAGACCACAAGTGCCCACATTCTCCACCACATGTAACAGGTTGTGACTCACCATCATGGCACCTCCTGCTGGTCTATTTGGGAATTAACTCTTCAGCCTCAGAGTGCCTTCTGCTGGCCAGTGTGTCACCCTCAGTTACCCATATTCTTCCACTCTGGTTGAGGCCCAGTGTCCCTCTCAGCCCCTGCTGCTCTTTCCTCTGTCCCACAATAGTGCCCCTACACTCTGGGGTCATCTCCAGGAATCCCAATTCCCTATATCTCTCCTGCCTCATTGACCCACTGCCAGTTGACATCTAGCCCCTGGCTCAGAGGCATAAAGTAGTCTGAAATGACCACTCATCATTGGCAAGGGGGGGCGGGGCAGGGAGTGGAAATGATGCCTTATTCTGTTCTGCCCGCTTCCCTGTTACCTTAGTGCCCCTCAGCCCATGGGAGCAAGACCTCAGCCTCAGAGTTTGCCTGGTCAGAGCTCCCCAGTTCTGCCTGCCCTGGGGTTAGCAGCCCCTACTTATTATGCACAGCTGGGTCCTAATTGGCTGCTGCCTGCCTCAGCTGCATGCTGCACAGTGCCAGCCATTTCCAAGGGCCGAGTGTAACCCTGGTTTCATCTGGAGCAGGGTGATCCTCCCCTCACACTACAGAATCCACCAAAGAATATTCTTCTATTCCAAGCATGATTTATTCTGTTTAATTTTCGTATCTCTCCTCCAAAAAGCAGGTTACAATGGTGTGTTTTAATTATAGTAACCAACACAGAACTGTACAAATGAAAAAAAACCACAATTCAGTTTATCTGTTGTTCCTTTTCAAAATGGCTATTGTGACTCAAATCTGTTTCCTAGAGACCCCAGAAAGGGAGGAAAGCATAGGAGCAGCTCCTGAATCAATATACAACATACTCAGGGCATGGTCACCTGGCAAAAAATGCATGGAGAAATAAGGTATAAAACTATTATTACTATCCTTTCCCATCAGGTCTATGGGAAACATCTCCCTGATTCCCACAATCAATGTTGTAGAGATGTTTTTAGGGATGTATTCCAAGAGCACAGCTGGTGGCGGAGTTGCTGGCATTGTAAGTCTCATAGTTATATTCCTGTGTCATGTTGGAGGCAAAGAGCCTATCATGGGACCTGGGGTATCTACATGGATGCCCTTGACATCAGTAGGTCTTCTGGTGTGGGTCTTGTTGGGGTGAGGGAGGCTAAACTCTGCTAAATCCCCAAGCAGTAGCTCAGAGTTTGGTATACAAAGAATACAAAGATTATTTCCCAATGTACCATTTGCTTTTGTTTCTTCCAGATGGCTTTCAAAGGATTCAGAATTTTTTTTTTAATTATGGTATTGGCCTGTGTCGGTTTGTTTTTTTTCAAGCTAAATTTGATTGAAATCTCTATATTTTGTCAAAAGAGGGAAGAAGTCACGGTCCTGACTTCTGCAACATATACCAGAAACTTTTTGCATTTGCCAGATATAGACTGCCGTAGGACTCCGCCTTTTCTGGTACTCCTTGTGACCTCAGCACCTGGCCAGCTTGAAGCTAGGATGGCTATTCGTCAAACGTGGGGGAAACACAGACTAGTTGCTGGAAAACGCATTGTGACATATTTCCTTCTGGGAATAACCACAAAAGAAAGTGATCTAATTGAAATTATTTTTGAAAGTCAGAAATACAGAGACATTATACAGAAGGATTTTATGGATTCATACTACAATTTGACTTTAAAGACAATGATGGGAATTGAATGGGTTCACAAATTTTGTTCTCAATCCCGGTTTGTGATGAAAACGGACACAGATATGTTTGTCAATATCTTTTACTTAAGTGAACTTCTTTTAAGAAAAAACAGAAGGACAAGATTCTTCACAGGCTTTTTAAAGAGGAATGAGCGCCCAATACGAGACAGAGGCAGCAAATGGTATGTGAGCAAAGCTGAATATCCAGCAAGCACATATCCTCCATTTTGCTCAGGAACTGGTTATGTTCTCTCCACTGATGTTGTTAGTCAGATTTATAATATTTCAGAAAGTGTCTCTTTTATTAAACTGGAGGATGTTTTCATAGGACTGTGTCTCGCTAAACTAAAAATCAACCCAGAGGAACTTCATTCAGAACAGACGTTCTTCTCAGATGAGGTTAGATTCTCTATTTGTCGCTTCAAGAAAATTGTGACATCCCATCATGTGAAACCTCACCAGCTGTTGATTTACTGGGTTTTATTGGAGAAATCAAAAGATGAAGAATGCCCAGATGTGTGAGTTAACCAAACTAAGAAATGGACACAAAAAAGTGTCAAGACCAGCCATTAGTAGGGTTACCACGTGGCGAGTATTTGACTGGCGGGGCTATTTTTAAAAACGGATTTACTAGTTAATAATGTAATTTGCCTTTTTTTACATACAGCTAAAGATTTGCATTATCATCACAATAAATTGGGATATATAATGTGAAGTTTCTGTGTCAAGCTAAAAACGTTCCAATGTTTCCACTTCCACACATTAAGGAAACGATATTAGTAATTTTATCTATGTGAGTTATCTCTTCAGATAATATAAATGGCTGTTGGGGAAGGAGGGATATCAGAGTTGCTTTGTGTGTGGGCGTTGGTTTCTTTGCATATCAGAGGTGGTAAACCTAGCCTTCAGACAAAGGAAAACTCCAACAGAAGTAAAGCCGGGGACCTGTGCAGAACAGATGAATATTTGTTTTAGCAAGACTTTAATCTGCATTTTTACTTAAAATATGAAAATATCTTGCCCCCTTTTCCAATTTGCACTTGTTTATTTTCAAACCTTGGCCTTGCTTGTAGAACACAAGCCAACAAAGCTGCTCTGACTTGGTACCAGCACTTTTGGTAATGTCAGCAGATGGGCTGGGAATGCTTCTGTGTCATTTGATTCTCGCTTTCCTTTTCCCTGTTTCCCTAATATTAAAAGTTTACAGTTCAAAGGCCATTCCCTGACACACTATAATAAGGGCAGGACAACTCTTGCAGTCAGCTCTGTGTGAGCAGAGATATGCATCTACATGAAACCATGCTGAAGACCGTGGGGCTTTTACACAAGCACATAGCTCCACCTATTCAGAACACATTGCAGGAGTAGAGTTGTTAAGTACATATATTAATGTCTGAGTCCTTAAGATTGCTGCATTAGTTTTCTATGATACATTTCCCATTTAAAATTGTGCATACAGGGTTTAATCAAGAGCCTAATGGACAGAACAAATCAACAGTGCTAACAGAGTATTTGAATTGGTAAATAAATAATGCATTTGGATATGTGATATTCCCCCCTCAATACAAGATTATTTTTTAATTCAGAGGAATTATTAAACACTGTAAAATTCTAAACTCAGACATTTCTCTTTATGCTGAGATATTCAAAAGGGACCCAAGAGAATGAAGCATCTCCATTCTAGATACTGGGATTTGGGCCCTGACTCCACTTGTCCCTCTTGAGAACTCCAGTCTCAATTGTTATAATCATACATACTCAGGCCTGATATGTTAAAGCTGAATGAATAAAAGGGCTATTTGTATATAGTGTATTTGATGTAGCCAAATGTAACTGTTTTAAATATAAGAGTTAATTCTCCCCTGGAATTTCCACATGCAACGTTTTTTAATGCTGATATAAACATATGACACTCTAGCTTATTTTCATAGAACGTTAACAAATTAACAAAACTTCATGCATGGTCATATTTTAATAAATGATTGTTATTATAGCTTTTGTGTGTGTCTAGTTAGCTTTTACTTGAGAGCACAACTCATGCTTTGAAATTCATTTTTCAAAAAGGAGGGTCTTCTTTTTAAACCAAGAGTCATATCTTTCCTACTCTAAAATGCCAGGGTAGAGGCTTTCTAATGCTGGAGTTGTCTGGTTTTTTCTTTGAGTCTCCCCCAGCATGCTATAAAAATGCCATGGCCCATCTGAACCTCAACAACTGGTTTTCTACATATAAAAGACCCTGCTGGCATTAGGAGGTAGCGTACAGCACCATTACATGGGGCCCCTTGCTGCAGGGCCCAGGAATGTAAGTTGCTTAGGTTGCAACTTCAGCCTTGGATAGCAGAGCTCAGAGTCTTGGGCTTCAGACTTATGCAGTGGGGTTTAGAGTTTTTTGTGCTGGCCCTCAGTAAACCTAATATGGGCTCTGCTTGATGGACCCCGGAAACATGCTCATGGCCTCAGGGTCCCGGACTATGGATGTAATAGTGTAGCCGATTAACTGATTGATCTAGAAGCAAAAGCTTATAGATTAATGCTATAGACTACCTGCATTCCCCGCCCCCACTTCCCTGCCAGTAATTTTTTTGGCAGTCTGGCCAGCAGCCCAGCTCAGTTGTGGCTCACGCTGGGCCCAGGACCGATCCCTGCTGCGGCTCTGCATTTAAAGTGTATTAGGAGCCAGGCAGGCAGGCAGCCCAGCTCAGTTCCAGCTCGTGCTGGGTCTGGGAGCTCAGAGCCCCCCTAGAGAGGGGCTGCTGCCACCCCGCGCTGCTGTGGACCAGCTCTCGCCTGGCACCCTGCACTGCTGCATCTGATACAGTGGCTGCCAGCCCCACCCTCAGGGGCTATAAAATAGTCGACTAACCGATAAGAATTCATGAGGTTACTCGACTATTCAGTTAACCGATATTTAAAATCCTTATCCTGGACCCCTGATTGAGAACCGCTACTTTAAACGCAGGTAGGTTCCTCTTCCAATGCAAGCAAATAATTCCTGTTACCAAGAACAGGATAACTTTATTCCTAGAGTACTGTAGCTGCCATCTCAATTTATTGCCTGAGCAATATGCTTCTTTGTGGTACACGATGGTTGGGTACCAGTTCCAAAAAGTGTCATGGAAATGTGAAGTTAGACTAGGAGCAGGCTGCTAGGACTGGAGATAGCCTGAGATGAGGCATACCTGGGTGGTTGACAAATACCTTTGATGTTGGCAGGGGAGCGTCCAGACTATCGCGCCGAGCCGACAAACAGCTGATCAGCTGTTTGTCGGCTCGGCGCGATAGTCTGGACGCTCCCCTGCCAACATCAAAGGTATTTGTCAACCACCCAGGTATGCCTCATCTCTGTCGCCAGAGGCATGTAGTCTAGACGTACCCTTAGAGTCACATGCCTTGGAACTTTAAGACATTTAATCTCTATCCTAGGCTACATCTAGACAGTAAGATTTTTTCGACAAAGGCTTCTTTGAAAGTATTTTTCAAAAATGCCTTTGCCGAAAAAGAGTGTCTAGATTGTATTATGTGGATTGAAAAATCAATCTGCTTTTTCGAAAAAGAGCATCCAGACTGGCGGATGCTCTGTCAACAAAAAAAAAAAAAAAAAAAAAAGGCACCCAGAAGTGCTTCTTGCAGGGCATGGAGGCAGCCTTTATTTCCAGGTGCTGCTGCCTGCCCTTTGCAGAGATGCGTGCTTAAAGGGATCCCCCTGGACAGCCGTTGCTCTGCTCCTGCTTCTGGCTTGCCTACTCCTAGAGGGAAAGCAAAGCTGCTGCAGTGCTTGCTCTGGTTGTCTTGCTTCCTCGGACACCACAGTAGTTTATTTGCAGGGTTTTTTTCTGCTTTTTACTGTTTTTGGCCATGGAGCCTGAGCTGCCGCATGGCAGGTTATGGTCCCACGCTGCCATACTGCAGCTTCTGCTGCATCTTCATGACTCTTTCATGAATCTCCTGCCCCATATGGACCAGGACTGCACCAAGGAGACCCTCCTGTGGGATGCAGGAGCTCTGTCCTTGCCCCCAAACTTTTTTTGGAGACAGGCAGATTTGGAGGCACAAGACGAGTTCGGACTGGTGAGACTGGCTCGTTGTGCATCTCTGGGACGACGACCAGTGGCTCCACAAATTCCGTATGTGGAAGGCCACATTCCTAGAGCTGTGTGCTTGGCTCACACCTGCTCTGGAACACCAGGACACCCACCTGCGGCCTGCCATCCACCTGCAGAAGCGGGTCGTAATCACCCTGTGGAAGCTGGACACCCCCAACAGCTACCACTCTGTGGGATACCAGTTTGGTGTGGGGAGGTCTAGCGTCGGGGCCATTTTGATGGAGGTATGTCACTTTTGGGGGGCAGGGCCTGCCCAGTGGGGAGAGGGGGGGGGGTGTGGGACACCAGTTTGGCATGGGGAGGTCTACCGTCGGGGCCGTCTTGATGGAGGTAAGTCACTGTCAGGGGACAGGCCCTGCTGAGTAGGGGTGTTGAGAAAGGGGGACTGCCAGGCAAGGGCAAGAGGGAGTGGGGGATGAAGTGGCACTTGGAGGCTGCTTCTCGGCCACCCCTGCACTGATGCGGGGGAGGGGAGCGTCCTGACAAGGGGAGGGTTGGGTGTGGGGGGAAGGGTTCTTCTCCCAAGCGCTTAGGTAACCTAACTCCCTGGATTCTGTCTGTCTATTTGTCTCTTGCTGCAGGTGGTGAGGGCCATTAATGCAGAGCTGCTGAAGAGGCTCATCCATCTCGGGGACCTGGACAACATCCTTGCCGGGTTTGCTGCCCTTGGCTTCCCGAACTGTGGAGGAGCCCTTGATGGGACACACATCCCAATCCGGGCACTGCCCCATCGAGCAGCCCAACTTATAAACAGGAAGGGCTACTATTCTGTGGTGCTGCAGGCCCTGGTCAACCACTGGGAACATTTTATGGACACAGGCACATGATGCCCGCATATTCTGCAAGTCCTACCTGTACCGCAGGTTGCAGGCAGGAACATTTTCCCCCCAGCGGCACCTCACACTCGGGGACATGCAGATGCCAGCGTGCATAGTGGTTGACGTGGCCTACCCCTTGTCAGCTGATGGTCAGGGCAGTATGTGTGTGTATGTGTGTTACACCTGGGTCTTCAACTGCTGGGACACAATGTCCCATCACAGCGGGCAGCCTAGGGAAGCTGGCGGGCACCCTGGAAAGTTTAATGTCCGTGTCTTTGACCGCTAGGACTGGGATCCGTTAGTGGTGGGCAGCCAACAGGCTGACAGACACCCCAGATTTTTCAGGGAGAGCTTATTACACCCGTGTCTTTAGCTGCTAGGACCGAGGTCCCATCGCAGTGGGCAGCCTAGGGAAGGCTGACAGATGCCCCTATGGATCTGTCCCCTGGAAGCAACACGACCCAAATGCCCAGCTCTGCCTGCGTCTGCTCCCTATGACCGGCTGGAGTTCTTTTAAATTGTGCTTGGTTCTGTTACAGCAACTGAAGGAGTCAGGTTAAAGCTTAAACAGTTACAGTTTTATTAAAGAAGCTTATAAATCATATGATTACAATGGCTATTGCTCTATTTCTTAACTGCTAGCAAATATAGATCTTAAAAAATGGTTACAAAGAAAATAAAGATAGAAAATAGAAATAATGGTACCAAGTGACAGACTTAAAGCTCTTTAAAGACTAAGCTATGTGTACACTTAAGACAAAGGACACATCCAGGTACAATTTTTACACCCTGCT